TATATATATATATATATATATATATATATATATATATATATATATATGACAATATATGTATATATGACAATTTTGTTATCTAACAGTTTAAACATCATATTACAAAAACAGTGCCATTACCTCGCCACTAAAGAAGAGGTAAAGAAGACACACACACACACACACACACACACACACCCTAAACATCATGTACACAGGTAAACCGATAAAGGAGAGGTAGAGGATAGGAAGTGAGTTGAGCTACCAGAGACAACATAAACATAAAACACCTTATATACGAGCAAGCAACATTATATCAGACAGAGAACCGATAAGAGGCTTGCACAGTAGATATTCGCGCTTTGTGTACAATGGCCAATGACCTTTCTAAAACAGCAATGTCTCTAAAGTGATTTACCGATTCGTTTACCTATGGGATATCTGGAGTAAAAACCATGATTGTATTAGCAGCAGACAGTCCTGCCAATACAACTTTCCCCTGAGCCAATCTGGTATTACCACTAAAAATGGAGTAATCATTGGGTAGAAGTAAAGGAAAGGTGCATAGGAATGGGGAATCCAAAAATACTGTCATGGCAACTATGCATGTTCGACCACAAAAGCCATGCACAGGGGGACACTCCCTGAAAATATGGAGATATTTACCAACAGTGCTCTGATCACATTTTGTACAGTTGGGATTTTCTGTCAGTTTCATGGTAATGGTATGGTGTGATTTAAAATGTGTGCAAAAAACTTGTAACAAATGAGCTGATGTTCTGGATTCCTTGATGAGATGGGTATGTTTGTCCAAATATTGTCCAAGTCCAGATCATAACCCTGGCCCTTAAGTTCACGATTCCAAGAACTGATCACTCAGAAAGATTTAACAGCCGTAGCAGTAAATAGCAGTTAATTGTAGATAACTGACTCTAATCCAGTAGAGGGCGTGTGAAAGGAAATCCACATGTTCAAAGTATGAGAGGATAATGGTGAATCCCATGGGACTCCATGAGCACAAATTGCAGGTGTCAACTGGGAATACAAAAACCAAGGAAACCCAGGGACAGAATAACGTTCTTTAAGCTCTTGGAGTGAAATCAAGCCATTACTGTCCTACAGATCTTGGAGAGTGTGAATTCCTCCAGAGGCCCAGCTGTCCCTTGAACAAGGGGCCGGAATGGTGGAATAAATTATAGTTATACCAAACAGCAGAGCAGTCACAGAGTTTTACATTACATCCCATATGTTTCTGGGCAGAATACCACATTTTTAAGGAGTTGTCTATGGTTGGCCCAAACTTGCTACACACATATCTAGGTTTCAAGCCACAGAAAAGTATGTCTGTCAATCTATGTTGTTTTACCATCCCCTTCTATATCTGTTGCCTGGTACAATGTTTTCATTTCACCAAACGGTCAAATGTTTTTTTTGGAATGCCCAGTAATATCATTTAAAATCAGGTAGTGCCAAACCTCTAGAGTGTTTTGGTCACTGTAAAGTGTACAAGTGAGTAGGAGCACTTTTATCATTCCATATGAATTTAGTAGTCAAGGACTGTAGTTCCTCAAAGTAGTTAAGTGGTGGAGGTAAAGGGATCATAGAGAACAGGAAGTTCAGTCAGCCAAGTACATTTGTTTTCAGTGTCGCAGTACTGCCTTGCAGTGACATCTTAAGACCAGACCACCTTTGAATGTCCGGTGCATCTCGGTTTTAAGTTTATCACAACTTAAATGTGATATATATGAGAAACTGGTTACAATTATACCTAGATATGTAAATGCTCAGTTATGGCATCGAATATGTGGAATGCTTCGTAAAGTAAAGTGTTTTGCGGAAGCCTTTAAAGGAATGGTATGAGGGATTTGTCTAAATTTGTGTCACACACCTGGTTAAAGTCACCCCTGACTATAAGCTGATGACCTGTCTTCAAATGTGTTCCTTGGATCAGTGCAATGGGAACTTCTAAGGAATTCCAAGCATTTAGTGCATTTTACTGGAAAATTTAGGCCCCCTACATTCAACGATGTTACATTAAGGGAGTTATTCATATTCAATTCTGCCATCTTATCAGCTGGAGGTTATGACATGCGGGTCTACTTAAGATGGCGTATTCAAATGTAGAGCATGCATATCATTCCATCCACAGGAGATAAGAAATGGTCTCTTGGGATTGAGAAGAAACTAAAAATTAAAAAGAAAGAGGCTTTCTTATGGACTAACTGTTGGTTCAACAGGGTTACACATCTCATGTCCGAGTCTGTGTGGGTATCAGAAACATTAAATCAATAACCGTCTGCTTATAAAGCAACTTAACACATATTAAGTATCAAGAAGTAAGTGGCTGAACATAAAATTTGAAAGGGTAATTCTATACTAAGAAAATATAAATGAAAAATAAATTAATAGAAAAATAAAATTGGCTGCAGTGACCTGTACTGTAACCGTCAGAAGTGTCAGTGACACAGACCTTTCCCCTAAACGGAGAAAATAAAGTACTAAAATAAAGTCCTATACAAATTACCCCTTTCACGTAAATCTAAGGCAAATACTTAGTACAGTCGAGAGGAGCATAAGCAGTATGAAACCTTAAGTAATCTGATTTTTGGGTCAAGTTAGAGCAAGGAAATCGTCCTGGCTCCATTGGCTGGTGCTGTCCTGGGTGGTGAATATATGATGGGCTCATTGAATTTCAATTTTCTCGCCGGCCAGGGAGGGGATCCACATGGGTAAGTTATCTTGTAAAAATTGGATGGCGTTTTCACCCTCCACTGACTCTGGCAGGCCGACCAGTTGGAGGTTAGACCTCCGCGACCTGTCCTCCATCTCAGCGACTTTCCTGCTGAGGTTCACAAGCTCTTTCTGGAGGTCGCCAACATCATGTTTCACCATTTTGACGGTAGCCGAGGTAGCATCCAGCCTCCCCTGCAGCTTTCTACCGACCTCAGCTACTGACCTCAGTATCCCCACTGAGTTTTTTCACTGCCGAGTTGGAGGCTTCAATCATAGCTTTCAAGGCTTGGATTTCACTGACGTGCATTTCCTTCTCTGACAGCCAACTTAACTTTTCCGGTTAGCCTTTTTTCTTGCTCCCACTAGGCCACGAACATGGCGGCATTTGAAGTGTCATCTGGTTCTTGGCCTGTAGATGATTTATTCTTCGTTCCTCTTCTGCTCAACATTTTGTAGCAATGCTTAGACATAATTTAAACCAGGATGGTTCCCAAATGGTATTATATTTTGTGTATTATCTGACTTTTGTGACGAAGTTAAGGACTACACGCGCATCACACTTGGGCAGCTACCAAAAGTGCACTTGGTTCTTTTTTTTGTGATATACTGGTGTACTTTTAGTTCTGCTAAATTTAAACAACAAAAATCTCCCTCGGTGTCCGTAGCTACCTGATACAAACTCAACTGTTCTTCGTTAATACCATTGGAAACTGTTGCATGTATGAACAGTGAAATAGTGTTCTTAATATTGGAAGAGAACTGGAGCGAAAGGAACATCCTGAGTTCATGGACATTACATTGAGTCTCTGTGTTATTTGATCAGAATGATTTCTCAGTCATTTCATTAAGATGTCGGTAAATTAATTTTTAAAAAAAACACGGTTTCCACTATAACAGATAAAATATTTGTCTTTTACGTAAAAAAGAAATACAAACATTCACAACAACTGAGACAATCAAAGATCATGGGCATTCAAACAAATTTAGGTACATCACCGTTATCAGTGGGGGCTGACCAGCTTCCACCTGGTGGGAGTCTTGCTTTCACCCACCACCTAACAAATTCAGTCACATTTGACCAGTGGTGGGCCGTCAGGGCCTTCAAGGCCTTCTCTGAAGGCCTAAGAAAATATCTGAATCACAGACTGATGTTATTTATATTTTGTCCATGAAAACTTATTAAATATCTCTAAATAGTCTGTCCGCTTCCTTTCATAGCTTTTCTCCTGGTTGCGCTGCTTCCAAACATGTATTTTCATATAAAAGCATTTAACCAATCGCATTTCAGACATCCTTTGTCGCTAGGCAGGGTCAAAGTCAAAGATGTCTGCCAGGAGGCCTTCACAATCCGTTCTGCAGGCCCCCCCCCCACAGAAAATACATGTCGAGTACACTGTTGCTTCAACCAATCAGATTTTAGGTTGGTGATGCCAGGGCCTGCGCGAAGGCCCAGGAAATGTCACCGTACCCACACCCGCTTATTGGATAGTCAGATATCCAATCAGGGCAAAGCTAGCAAACAAACCGAAATATAGTTGTGTTGGTGTAATAGCTATTTTATTATTTCGTGGCGGATTTACTGTCAAGACTATTTTCAAAACGGACTTTTCAAGAAAAGTAAGTGAGTAAAATGTTGTTTTTTTCCTAAATGGTATTGCGAGTTTATGAAGATATTATTGATGTTTTTGTTTTTGTTTTTGGGGGGGGGGGGGCGATCGCAGCTGTAGCTGCAGGAGTAGAAGACTTGTGCAGCCCTGATCTTTAGACTGTATTTTAGGATTGTCCTGATCCGATATTTGGATCGTATCGGCCGGCATGAGAAAATGCCAATCGAGACTCTAGATACATTTTTTTTCAAAGTCCGATCCCACACGAGCATTAGCATTAGTATTAGCATTAACATCTCCTAACCCACAGGTCTGTGTAAACTTTAGTTGTTATAAGAGTAAATCCCTGTTCAACATGAGTCCGACAACTAAGTAAGTAGAAAGAAAAATTCAACTTTAATATAAAAAGCTGGATCGGGACATCCATACTGTATTTCTACATAATAAGATGATTTCTATAACCATAAAATAGTTATTGAGGGGTGAATTGATTCAGACGGAGCACTACTGAAGTCCTAGGTGTCAAATGCACAGTCCGCCACTGCATTTGACTGATGGCAGGTCTTAATGTAAAACTCTGACCTTAAAAGTGGTGACATAACCGTTTCACCCCCAGCAAGCTCCCCCCCAAAAAACTGAGAAACTGTCGATGGTAACCAATATCCGTACTCTTTTATCAGTCTTCACAATTTAATGGAGAAACATTGTAATTATCTAAATGGCAAAACAAAAACTAATAAAAAAACTTCAAACGAAACAACGTGTATTTCCCTATCACACCCATATATGTATCTTACAAACCACCAAAAAACAATAGTGCATATATATTCAGTGTTCTCAGTGTGCCCACCCAAAGCCTCATTTGTATTTTTCCCAATCGCAGAGAAAATCATGTTAACAGCGGTCACACAGAACAAGCCTTCACTCACTAAATATAAACTATTGCACAGATGTTGCATCCTAATCCCCTCTTCATCCTTCCTACGCTCCTTCCTTCCTTGATCCTCCATTTCCTCCCTCCTTTACTGTGTTTTATGTCAGCGGCTCTCCCCAACACAAGCAGCAGCCACAGGTTACAAAAATAATTTATCAAGACTCATTTGACAGAAATGTAATCACAGCACGTATTATGATTATAAGTCATGACTAGAATATAAAATGACGCTGTGTAATTGACTGAAGACCTGTAGAGGGTGTACCCTGCCTCTCGCCTAATGACAGCTGACGTAGGCTCCACCCCCTCTGCAACCCTACTCAGAATAAGTATTATACTGCCTATACATATCAGATTAAGAGGCATTATATTGCATCCACCCATGAATGCAATAAGATGCCTCTTATTCTGACTTTAATATTACTGATTATCTGACATCAGAGCTATGCAGACAAGACAGTTCTAATTATTCAAAACAGGACGAAATGAATTGCATATGTATAGAATACAAAATATTAAAGTGTAAAAAATAGTTAGTTATTTGGATTTTAATTGATATTAGAACTTGATAAAGGGCTTAGGATGAATGAAATATTAAGGTGTAATTTAAGTTTCTAGCAGATTGTGAGAGCACCCAAACTCTTCCTTCACTGAAAAATGCAGTTGTATATATGAAACCAATTTCCAAAAAACAATTTAAAATTTCCATTTGTCTGATTTTAGAGCATTGTTCCACTTTGTCTCAGTTTATTAGATATGGCATTTAGTCTGGAGTACATGGATGGTTTATATAATGTTCTTTTGTGACTTGTTTGTAATTTGGGTACAGAAAATGATTGATTTCCAGAGCCCGAGTCCATGTTGTATTTTCAATGACGGAATCATGTCTGTTTTAAATATCAGAACCACAATCTAAAAGTCTGAAAGTCACAGGCATCAGATATTAATATTCAGTTGGACCCCTTGTGCACTTGTATTACATTGAACTTTCTACCATTTTTTTAAATTTAAATTGTATTCAGTGTCTCAACTGTGTTCAATTTCGCATAGATCATTAATGACAGACTACACTGATGTCTACATGATGCCCAAAAAGTTATGTTCAAATGTCAAACAGCATACTGACATCCAAGCAGAGTCGTGGTTTGAGGTCCAAATGGCAGACCTAGTTTGAACATCACTTGGACGCCCAAAACTGGTCTTCGTCCAACAGATGAAATTTAGATGTGCTGTTAATCCGTCAGACATCTAATGTTTAGCAGGATATGTTGAGCAGAACCTGGTTTTCTCCTGATCCCAAGGTATTGGACACACAAGTGACCCTGTGTAGAAAAATTCTAACCTGGTCTCTTGGTTGTTTCGAACGTGAACTATTCCTCCAGCAAATGCATCAGTTCCGGACTACCTTGTTCCAAACTCATCTTCCAGACATAATAATCAGGATTCTCAACCTGCCTGTTCGCCCTCCTTTGCCTCAATGCTGTTTTGCCACAGCCTTCGCCTCCCCCTTCAGCGTGCCTTATTTTCATTTATACTCATCTGTAAAAACTTATCACAAGTCTTTCACCATCTCTGCCCAGTACCAGTACATGGTCTAGCCTACTCTACCAGGTCTGCACAACATTCTCTACACGATAAGTTCTAAGTCTTGCATTGAGTTTATTCCTGGTCTTCCCATGACCCCAACTTTGATTGGCTGATTTACTGGTTGACAAGTGCAATAACATGGTGCAATGTTTTATATAGTACAACTTTATGTACAGGGAAACACCAGATTGGTCAGTTAATTTAATTTCTACATATTTATCCATGCCGCTACCACACTGTCAATGCTAATACCTGTATTGTTTATTTTCAGATCCCAACTCCCTATTACTCATTTCACTAAAATCCCTTTTTTTTGTCAGCCTCTTTTATATTTATAGTTATATTTATAACGTTTTTTAATAATCCACAGTATCTATTGCCTAATCAACATACAGACCTTGCTGTACCTAATAGCCAAGAAATGTCATTTCGTTGTCAAATTCACTGTGCCTTTGTACAATGACTAAGTCAGACTCTCTAACTCTAACTTGAAGATTACTGGCTTTGCTGGCTGCTCCTCTGAAGGTGTGTATGGGGTTAGGGTTAGGGTTAGGGTATGTTCAACGAAAGCATATAACATCTCTCAGGTGAAAAAAAATACATATATACTTTATGATATAGCAATCTCTAATACCCAGTCATCATAAAGAGAAGAGTGTAAGGGGTGAACTGTAGTACAGGAAAATCATTGTAGTGGACCAAATCTAGATGTTACAAAAAAGGTGATGGTAGTAACCTTTGTTTGGTAGTGTACCACACTTTTTGTGCCATACATAGTGTGTACATCTGCCTTTCCACTTTTGGTTGGACACTTGTTTATTTAACTGCAACATATCATATGGACTTAGTAGCTTGTTCTGGAATGGCATGACTCTGTATGTGATAACAGTTACCATTTGCCTAGGATTCCTAGTTGTAAATCATATTTTAACACTGTGTAACTAATCCTTTTGGTTTGCACATGCTGGTCTCCATTCTGCAATCAAATGGTGTTGTTTGCTTAGATGCAACAATGTTTTCCATTTGTAATCAGTATGAGGTTTTCTCTTGATTCATATTTATTTTGTTAAAGTCAAAGCCCTGTTTTCATTGCTTTGTCTCTGGTAAGTCTAGATTTCATGAGCACACCAATTCCTATGGCCCTTTCTACACTGGTCTGAGTCGGCCCCCTTCATTTTTTAATTTGGACAGTGAGTCCGGTGGTCTTATGGAAGAACCCATTTAAGGGGTCAGTTGGTATGTCCATCTGCATCCTATCTGCTATTGGAGTGGCAGTTCGAATATTTGAGTGAAATGGCCTTAATTGCTCTAACTGGCTGCACCAGTGAGGGCATGGATAAAGCTGGCCTTTCGTGGCAAGGGGGTCCTTGTTGCTCTTTTTTCCACCCAATATCTCTGAAGTTCTATGTTTTGGAATGATGAATGTTGAATTCATCCAGTTGTTTGCCTATATACTTCCTGCTAAGCGAACAGCTGTGTGGCCTCCTTTCAGTTCCACTGTGCGCAGAATGCAACTGTTGAGTATATCAAAGCTCCACTAGCATCTAAAGTCTCTTCTTCTCTTTGCAAAGGACCTACTGCAACTGTCCGGGCCTAAAGTCGACTATCTTACATGGATAGTAAGCTAAGACATGAGTCCGTAGATTTGATGTTATTTAAGGGACATTAAGTTTCACTGTAACATGTATGTTGCAATATTTTTCCTTTTAAGAAAGCTTGGCTTGCTCTTTCCACCATTTTTTTTAGCAACGTAACATTAGCAACTTTGCTTCTTTCACTGAGATGACACCAGGACAGCAAACTGATCCTGGACCACACTGGTTAAAAACACAAGCACGCCACTTTTGACGATCACACGGATGTCTCTAAAACCACTCATGGTCGTCTCACACACACCTAAAAATGAACATAAACTGAGTGTTGATTTGAATGTGCTTTTCAAAAGGCAAACTGATTCTAACAAATACATCTTTTGAAACACACCTAAACATGATTTAAAAAGCTTTTACACAAAAAACATCATTATCAGACTTCTGCCCGTTTACCAGTGTTTCTAAAATATGTAGTTACTTCTTTATATCAGTTGATGAAACTGCAACTCCATTGCAAAACATTCCAAATTTAAATGTTATCAGTTTGTAGTTTTAAGACATAGAATATACTTGGTCCACACAGAAACAGAATACTGTCCCTCTGACAACACTGTTCATGCTGAATGGCAGGAAATATTAGGGATCATTATGTCACTCCTGGTGTTGACTGTTGTGTAAGAATGCAGGCAGCAGCTTACCTGTTCTGCCCTCAGGCCAGGTATGACTGATATAAGTGTGTGAGTAAAGCTTGCAAAGCTCTCTCTATTCAGTATAAAACGCCTCTAAATCCTTCACAAGGTCAAGGCGCTGTTTGTACCCTAGCTATATGATGTGTTGCAGCTATTTCAATCGTGCGCACGTTAATTTAAGACAGAGATGTTCTTCTTACCGTAAACGCCCTGGCCGTGCACGCCCTGCAGCAAGCCGGTAAACAGCCACAGGAATCCAAAAACTAAACCCATCTTCTCATCCTCCTCCGTCCGCCTAACTGCTTCTCCGGCCCCCATTCCAACCCCCCCCCCCCCACCCCCCCCCCCCCACCCCCCGATCGCTGTCAGATGAGATGGGCAGGTTCGGTTGCGCGCATAACGTTGGCTGAAAGCATCACGACCAGTTGATGGGAAGAAACGAGATGAATCAGGTGCCTCGGTCCGTGTCTCCTTGGTGGTGACATTGTAGTCTATGATCAGAATTCAACGGGAGGGGGGAGAAAAAAAAATCGCCCGGTCCGGAAAAAAAATGTTCACAAGTCCAGTTTTGACAGGGAACGAGTGTTTCTTACATCCACACGTCCATGACAAGCGGTGACAGCGGCTTCCTCTTTTTTTTGTTGCCCTGTTTCAGTTTCCAGCGGTTTGGTAGCGGCCCTTCAGGCCAAAATCTGGAGGACGCGTTGTGATGCTGAGGATGCGCGACTTCCGGTTAGGACGCAAGGACATCAACAGCGGCTTTTTTGCTCCCCCCCCCCCCCCCACCCTCCCCCACCCCCCAGTCACGCCTTTTTCGCCTTGATTTTTCTGACAGATGGTTGAATCGCGAGGATAAACTGAAACGAATAAACTGTAGCACAGTCATATTTCTCAGCAGAAAAGGGAAAAAAAAATATTACGATATTATGTGTGATTGGACCAATCCTAAATACAGACTATATTATTTTGCCCATATACATAATAAACAATAAAGGGAAAACCCAACAAAAACAAAATAAAATAATTTATCACATGTAAAGCGTACGTGTGTGCGTGTGTCGGAGGAGGAGTGTGGGGGCAATGCTTCCTGCATAATTTCAAAATAAAACAACATGTTTATTTTTCTTTAATAATTACTATCTATAAAGAAAAAACAATCTCTATTCTAATAAAACAGTTTCATTAGCGCATGAAAGTGATGTTATGTTGATTAAACTTTATAAAACAGAACCAGTTTGCTCACAAATCTGCCACTAAGTCTACAAAGAATTGATGTTTCTCAGATTTTTAAAAAGTGCATTTTACAGACCATTTTTTTCATCAAACCGATTCAAGGTTCAAAATTGACGCGAGGAAGGAAATTCAGCTAAAGTTACTTGAAAACCCAGGACACTGGGTGTGACGTTCATGTGTTAAACGATCTGTTCAATGGTTAAATTGATACGTTGTCAGTTGGGATACATGAGAAAGTCATTAAAAAAGGTTACTGAGGTGCTAGGCATAGCAGCATTCAATAATTTGCTCTTACACTGTAAGTATGCAAAATAAAAAATACCCAAACACTACTGGCAGTGTTCCTGTATGGCATAAAATAATGCCATAAAAAACAGAAAAGTTAAGGAAATTTTCACATTTACAATAGCTTAATTCTCAATGATACAAGACTCTTTTTAAAAAAAAACTCTGTTGTTGTGGACATTTTTGTTTTTAAAGCAAAAGTCTGAGTCCATCTGAGAAAGTAAGAAATAGAAATGTATTAAAAGGGAAAAAAGGGAATGGGAAAACTTCATTAGTGGTTCATATGACATACCAAGCTGCCCCAAAGTAAAACAAATCATGATGCATTTTATACCCCTCTGACTCTGAAATAAGACGTAAAGTCCGTCCTTCATTCCAAGATGAGACGTAATGTCTGTCTTTCCTCCTGCATCTGTATTAAACAATCTTCGAGACAAAAGATTTTAAGACAAAAAATGAGGGACCTTGAAGGAGGAAAGAACCTTTAAAATCTTCAATTGTGGAAAGTTACCAGAGAGAAATTAAGAAAGTGATTATACATATATTGATTTCCCTAACAATTCCCCACTTCTGATTATAATTTTTAAAAACTACTAAAGAAATCAGTGGATAGTATATCATGTAACAACGCCGAATCCACAAAAAGTCTTACATACCCAATGAATACAGTTTTGAAAAGTAATATTAACCTTAAAAAATAGCATCAACCTTCATTCTATCACAAAGTCAGTGGAAAACAAATGCATCATAGTGATTAAGTATCCAAAACAACATCAACATGTCAAAGTCAGAATAAAATTCATCATCAGAAGCAGCACCTTAAAAAAAATCGAGTCAAGCCAGCCAATGAGCAAATTATGTACATTTGAATTATGCGTCAATTCCACACAAAGTGAGCGCAACCCATCCAGAGCCCTGGCTACAAAACTATCTGGGGCAGTATTGTTCAGAAAAGTCATTCATCCAGTTAACTTTTTTGTGGTCGCAGATGGATTTAATCTGGAATCCCTCTGGGAACCCTGATAACATCTACAGTATGTACACCATGCTATCAAAACCACTAGGACTAATAGATTTTCTATATCAAATTTTTTCTCTTTGAAGCAACAATGTAACATCTTTAATTAGCCTAATATGCGTACATCTGGCCATCCAATGACAGGCCAGATGAGCGTACCCTATTATAAGAATGTGCCAGGCACAGCTCGCATGGAGGGTACTTACCAGAAATAATATGTATATATATATATCTTAATCCTCTGTTGGAGAAAATGGAAAACTGTTGAAAACTGTTCTTTATTTTATTTTATTTTATTTTTTCCTTTTTTTTTTCTTTTTTTCCTTTTTTTCCAATTTTTTCTTTTTTCCCCTTTTTTTTGTTCTTAACAGTTAACCTTTACGTGGACACTGCTAGGGACGGGGACAGTCTCATAACATTCTGGACAGGAAATAGTGTTGACCCTACCAAAATTTCATAAAATATTAGAAAAATGCCTGAGGATTTATCCAGGGGGTACATGCAGGGGTCCCAATCTTCCCCACTTCTAATCCATCTGGCCCTCGTAATCAAACAGTGAGTGGGACAAAGGAAGTTCAAATAACAGTTTTCTTTTTGCACTATTCAGACATGGAGACGGGTTCCGGAAACTACAGGGGTTGGACAATGAAACTGAAACACCTGGTTTTGGACCCCAATACTTCATTAGTAAGGTGTGGGGCCTCCTTTTGCGGCCAATACAGCGTCAGTTCGTCTTGGGAATGACATATACAAGTCCTGCACAGTGGTCAGAGGGAGTTTAAGCCATTATTCTTGCAGGATAGTGGCCAGGTCACGACGTGATGCTGGTGGAGGAAAATGTTTCCTGACTCGCTCCTCCAAAACACCCCAAAGTGCTTCAATAATATTGAGATCTGGTGACTGTGCAGGCCATGGGAGATGTTCAACTTCACTTTCATGTTCATTAAACCAATCGTTCACCAGTCTTGCTGTGTGTATTGGTGCATTGTCATCCTGATACACGGCACCTCCTTCTGGATACAGAGTTTGAACCATTGGAGGCACATGGTCCTCCAGAATGGTTCGGTAGTCCTTGGCAGTGATGCGCCCATCTAGCACAAGTATGGGGCCAAGGGAATGCCATGATATGGCAGCCCAAACCATCACTGACCCACCCCCATGCTTCACTCTGGGCATGCAACAGTCTGGGTGGTACGCTTCTTTGGGGCTTCTCCACAGCGTAACTCTCCCGGATTTGGGGAAAACAGTAAAGGCGGACTCATCAGAGAACAATACATGTTTCACACTGTCCACATCCCAAGATTTGTGCTCCTTGCACCATTGAAACCGACGTTTGGCATTGGCACGAGTGACCAAAGGTTTGGCTATATCAGCCCGTCCCTGTATATTGACCCTGTGGAGCTCCCGACGGACGGTTTTGGTGGAAACAGGAGAGTTGAGGTGCACATTTAAGTCTGCCGTGATTTGGGAAGCCGTGGTTTTATGTTTTTTGGATACAATCCGGGTTAGCACCCGAACTTCCCTTTCAGACAGCTTCCTATTGCCTCCACCATTAATCCTGTTGGATGTGGTTCGTCCTTCTTGGTGGTATGCTGACATTAGCCTGGATACCGTGGCTCTTGATACATCACAAAGACTTGCTGTCTTGGTCACAGATGCGCCAGCAAGACGCACACCAACAATTGGTCCTCTTTTGAACTCTTGTATGTCACCAATAATGTTGTGTGGATTGCAATATTTTGAGCAAAACTGTGCTCTTATCCTGCTAATTGGACCTTCACAGTCTGCTCTTATTGGTTCAATGTGCAATTAATGAAGATTGGCCACCAGGCTGGTCCAATTTAGCCATGAAACCTCCCACACTAAAATGAGAGGTGTTTCAGTTTCATTGTCCAACCCCTGTATACAGTCTAATCTCTCTCTCTCACCCCCAACCGGCCGAGGCAGATGGCCGCCCACCCTGAGCCATGGTTCTGCTCGAGGTTTCTGCCTGTTAAAAGGAAGTTTTTCCTTGCCTGTGTCGCCTAGTGCTTGCTCATGGTGGGAATTGTTGGGTTTCTGTAATTAACTTCAGAGTAGGGTCTGGCCTGCTCTGTTTGGAAAGCGCTGTGAGACAACTGTTGTTGTGATGTGGCGTTATATAAATAAAATTGAATTGAAAAATTGAATTTAATTGAATTACTTATATGTGCGGTTAGTGCAAAGGGCATATTAAGAACAGGTGGATGGATCCACTTCACCAGGAGTACGTGTGTGAGCAATAGGCACAGCATCTCTCACACAAACAAAGCAGAACTTACTGTTTATTGATCTAACACTGGAACTAGCAAGCTGATACCCAATATTGCTGTTAACCCAAGGTTTTCGCAAGATATGTACAGATCCCTCCTAAAAAGAGATCTCCTCAATGTGGCGCTTAAGGCGCAAGTCATGTGATGAGCCTGACCCTAGGGGAAATGCACAACCCAATCATGAACACCATTGCAATCAACCCAATCCTGATATTCCGATCCCTTTGCTCTTTCACTGCTGATAGAGTTTTTGTGGAGTCGTTGCTGAAGATCTGAGTGGCTTACTGATGTTCTAGCTCCGCTTCTTTCTTCGGCGTCAGAGGTTACTAGCGCTTAACACACCGTTGGAGTAAACTTTCACTGTTTAGTCGTCCTTGTTCTTCTTCACAGCTTTGTGGTCTGGTTGGTCTTTTATAATTTAAAAAGAGGTGAGTGGGAGGGCCCTGGTTGCAGGTCCCACTCCCAGGTTGGACGTCTGCTAACCAATTTAA